CAAATGGATTTGGATGATGCGTTGTTGAAATTTGACAAGATGCCCACAACTTGGAAAACAAAGAAAAAGCAATGGAAGGATCAAAATGTACTTTTGCAGATTTGATCTTCATCGTATTGCAGAAGGAGGACCTTTAGAAAACCATTTGACTGTGTTTAAGGAAATCGTCATTGATTTGGAAATGTTAGAGGTAAAATATGATGAAGACGACTTGGCCTTGATCCTGTTGTGCTCATTGTTTGCTTCATTTTTGTTGTCGGGGACACGATTTTTTAAAGTCGTGACACACTCACCATTGAAGATGTGTATGATACTTTTTTTCAAAGGAGGAGATAAAGCGTCTGGTTGGGGCCGAGTTCAGAGGTGAAGAAGCTCTTGTGGTTCATGGTGATCGACGAAGGGGTAAGTTGAGGGTAAATTTCAGCAATCAAGTTTGTTTTTATTGCAAGAGGAAAGGACACATCAAGAGAGATTGCAAGAAGTTGGAAAACAAATGTAGCTTGTTTGCAGGTCATGGAAGGCAATCAGATATTTTGGACGAGACCAATGTAGTTGACAACTATTTAGATGACGGAGATGTGTTGACTATTTCTGATATGAAATCCAAGCCTAACGAGGAATGGATTTTGGATACAACTTGTGCATTCCATATGTGTCCCAATCGAAATTTGTTTGAAACATATGAAATGATGAGCAAGGTATGGTTGTCATGGAAACAACGAACCTTATCGGGTAGCTGGTATTAGTAAGGTCAGATTCAAGTTGATGGATGGGAGAATTAGAACACTTGGCCATGTTTGACATGTTTTAGATTTGAAGAAGAATCTCATCTCGTTGAGTACCCTTAATTCAAAGGGTTATGAGCTCTCTAAAGGAGGTGGAGTCTTAAAGGTTCGAAAAGATGTCCGTGTTATACTGGAGGAGGTCCCGATTAACATCTTGCAAGGTCGCGCAGAATCATGAAGAATCATCAGCATAGGTTTAGTACCATGGTGGATATATAGTTTGGTATAGTACCTCTAGTGGTTGCCTTGGAGTCATTATTGAAGAACACTACTCGGATGAGTTTAAAGGATATGGGTAATTTTCGCTTTGCTACCGTTTTCTGTGGTGCCATCGTGTTCAACTACGAGGGAAGGACCTATTGAGGATAGGTAGGGAATGTTGATCTTGTGGTGTATGCTTCCTCAAACTCTCGTTTTCGCACCTTCTGGTTATAATACTTGGCATTGCGTTGTTTGTCCATAGCATTTTTGAGTTCGACTTCATTTCTTCTTTTCTCCACAAAGTACAGTTTCTGTATAGTGCCTTTTCATTTCCAATTTTGTTGTAGGCTAGCTAAGAAAACTCCTATCTACAATGGAGTTACTGCTTCTACACCAAAGGCTAAGGAAAAAGAGGTACTCCGGTGTTGGTCCTTGCTATAGTACGGTAAGACCATAACACGTTGGGGCGCTCCTCCATCCATCCTCATTTATGGGCATCAAGCCTTCCTTTCAACTTATATTTAATGATCTTATTGATGGCTTCAACCTGACCATTAGCTTGTGGATGGTTTGGTATAGAGAAATGTTTTTTTATATCTAGCTCTTCACAAAAGTTTGCAAGATGGGCATTATCGAACTGCTTCTCGCTGTCAGTCACAATGGAATGTAGTATCCTGAACCTACATATAATAAATTTCCATATAAAATTGGTGTTTTTTTGTTCGGCAATCTTGACAAGTGGTTCTACTTCAGCCCACTTAGTGAAATAATCAACTGCAACAATGGTAAACTTCGCTCCTCCTCTCTCCATAGGCCTGAGACCAATTAGATCCACTCCCCATTTTGCAAATGGCCATGGAGCAATTACAAAATTAAGCTCTTGCGGTGGTGCTTTAATGATGGGAGCGAGACGTTAACACTTGTCGTACTTTTTCACAAATTCGAGTGCATCCCGTTTTATTAAGGGCCACAGGTACCGTTGACGTATGATCTTGTGGGCCAAAGATTGCACACTAGAGTAGTTTTCGTACATACCTTCATGTACCTCCTGTGAAGCGTATAATACTTCTTCCTCATTCAAACATCTTAGCAAAGGGGTCGAATACCTTCATTTGTTGATAATGTCATCAATTAAGTTATACCTAGCCTATTTGATTTGGAGCCTTCTTGCTTCAACAGGATACTCATGACATACCTCTGTC